TTCTGACCTTTGGTGTAGAGCTTGGATAGAGTTATTACTTTAGCAACAGGTCTGGATCTAGGAAGTTCCGATTCCTCCAAGTGAGTGTTGCTTGGATCTGGCTGCTGTGCTCCACTTCTTTCTACTGCAGGCATTAGAGTTGAACCCTTTGTGTCTCTCTGGCAAGATGTTCTGCTCCTGAATCAGCTGGGTGGGTCTTGCTGCTAGCCTCTTTTCAGGGAGTTCTGCTGAAGGGTTCCGTGCTGGACCTGTGCTCTGGGTCCAGGATTCCACAGGCCCCTGGTCGTCTCACTCACTCGCCAGGCCTATGCTCTGGGTCTGTTCAGGATCGCGCAGCCCGGGGTCATCGCACTCACTCACTGGGCTTGCACTCTGGGTCTATTCAGGATCCCGAGGCCTGGGTCGTCTCACTCACTCGCCGGGCCTGCACTCTGGGTCTGTTCAGGATCCCGCAGCCTGGGTCATCTCTGGACAACCTTTAATAGGTGACTATATTCATCAATCATTAGAATCTCTGCACTTAAAGAGATTTACATTAACTTGTACATCCCATACTTTCTTCTTCTACCTCATTCATTATCTCTTTTCAGAACCTCTAACAAAGAATGTTAAAGCCACAGAAAATGGCTATGATGACATTGAGGAGTTCCCTGTTCCTAAAATTTCATCTTCCCCTGAGGTGGTTGAGAGGCACATTTTCCTGGAAGGTGGAGCTGTTTCCAGGAATTCTCAGTCAGGTGGGTAGACAGCGTTGTCTCCTTTTGTGTACTTACTTGTTATGGGCAACATGAGTTTGTACCCATAACTCATCATATTTTCATTAGTATAAGAAACTAGGAAGCTTTGTATACTTGGGTGAGGTCTTTTTTTCCTTATTAAAATTTATTTTAACTATAGCAATTCTTCCAAGAGAAGAAACATTTTTTTCTATGTTCATAACTATTACTCATGAGGTAATGAACATGTGTGAGCTTCATATTTTGTGGCTTTGCTGCTTTTCTTCACACCCACAGCAACATATATTATCTCACTATGAATATGGAAGCTCTTTTTATCATGAGGCATAACCTGTAAATGTTTATAATGGAAAGGCCAATTTCATCTATGAACCTTAGAAATTTTGTGGAAAACATGTAAAGAAACATTTGAAGTTGACATTTCTCATTATTGTTGCAGAATGTACAATGGCCTTAATTAAAAAGTGATAAAAATGTATCAATGAAAGAAAGAAAAAATATAGTCATTTTCTTTGAGCTGGCACATGACATCGCTGTAAGGACTAGAATTTCTGCTCATTTATTGACATATAGTCCCTGGGGAACAAGAAATGCTGGGATTTGGCTAATCTCTCATCTTTTG